CTTGTTTGCCACTGGAGTCTCAGATCATTGGTACGTGGAACTCCCATTGCTATTGAGTTGATTCTGACTCATAGCAATGCTATATAGGGTGTGTGAGATGGTAAATGTTTATGGGAGCAGACAGTCTCACCTTCTCCCATGCAGTGGATGGTGGATTTGAACTGCAGCTGTTAATGGTAACAGCCCAACACCTTAGCCTACAGTGCCCCAGGGCTCTTTAAACTGAATTGGAAAAGGATATTAATTTGAATTACAACTATGTTTTCTGTCATATACAAAAGAAATGCTTTTTACCAATGGTTCACTCTATCATCACGCCTCTTTGGAAAGTTGCTCTAGTTTTTCAATAAGTATGTATCTAATATAATTAATGACACAACCATGCTAGATGAAGTGCAGAGGCCTTGAAGAACTTGCTGATGAAGATCAAGGATTGTAGCTTTCACTGTGGATGACAACTCACTATAAAGAAAGTCAAAATCCTCACAACTGGGTCAATAGGTAATATCCTGATAAGTAGAAACACAGTTGAAGTTGTCAAGATCCACCATCCATGCTCATGGAAGCGGTCGTTAAGATATCAAACAATGCATTGCATTGGGTAAATCTGTTTCACAATATTTTTTTTCAAAGCGTTGACAAGCAAGGATGTTACTTTGAGGAATGAGGTGTGTCTGACCCAAACCATGGTATTTTTCCCATTGCTTCATATGCATGTGAAAGATGGACATTGAATAAGGAAGACTAAAGAAAAATCGATGCATTTGAACTTTGGTGTTGGCAAAGACTATTGAAAGTCCAATGAATTGTCCAAGAGAATAACTAGATCTCTCTCAGGCGAAGTACAGCCAGCATTCTTCTTGGCAGCAAGGACAGTAAGACTTCATTTCATGTAATTTGGACATGTTATCAGCAGGGGCCAGTTTGAGGGGAAGGACAGCATATGTGCTACAGTGACGGGGCTTGACAAAGAGGAAGGCCCTTGATGCTGGATTGATACAGTGGCTGCAACACTGGGCTCAAATATAAGAACAATTGTGAGGATGGTGTTGTGTTCCATCGTACACAGGGTCGCTATGAGTCCTAACCAGCTCAACAGTACCTAACCACAGCAGCGTGCATCTAGGAAGGAACCCCGGCAGTGCATGGGCTGCTCACCTAAAGGCTGATGGTTAGAACCCACCCGGTACTCCACGAAGGCAATATGAAGGGTCTGTACAAACGGGTGCCTGCATAACCCTCAGCAAGCAGTTCTGCACTGCCCTGCACAGCTCCTGTGCATGGGGGTCAACTCAATGGCAGTGGGTTCAGTTTTTTGTTTATATAGCTCATGGAGATATGGTAAGATTGGATCCTCAGTTAGACTTTCTGGCAGATAGAAGATAATAAAAATAGATTTAGTCATAATCAAATGTGAAAGCAATGACCTGAACAGTGGACAGAGAAGTATAAAGTCAGTATAATGTGCAATATGATTTGGGTAGATCAGAGAGGACATGGAAAGTGAACTTTTGTATGATATGGTAAAAGTTAGGGCTCTGAAACCAAGCTATTTGAGTTCCACCTGTTTAACTTACCACCTGAATGAAATCTGGGCACATGGTGTAGCCTCTTTCTGTCTCAGATCCATGTGTGAAAAGAAGGTTAGAAACAAGGTCCATTCTGAGAGGGTGGCTGGGATAATTAATGAGAAAATTCAAGGAAAGCACTTGGTACAACCATCACTCAAAATATAGTTGCTACCACAGTCATCATTACTATCATCATCTCATCATCATCAAAGCCATTTCATCCTTTTTAGGAATCTGTCCACAGTTTAAGGAATTATTTCCCATAGACCTGCAAGATCTTAGACCTGTACTGTATCAAACTCAAGGACTCATCCCTAGTGGTAAATGATGAATGGCCTCATTGGAGCTGTGCACCTCTTTCAGGCAAGAGTCACTAGGCGTTTATTTTGTGCAGGACTCTGTGGCACACAGATGCTGGGGGAGTGAAAGACTCCAGGGGAACCAGGAAAGTAGTTCAGAGTACAACGAGAGAGACACACGGAAAAAAGTAGAAAGACATGGTAGATTCTACACAAAGGTTTATGAAAGGTCAAAATATCAGTGGGGGTTGGCCCAAAGCAGAAATAAAAATTGAGCCAGATAGGGCAGTCTTTATCAAGACCCCAAACTGAGCAGAACAACGAATTAAGCTGCTGAACAACATGCAGAAATGTGCTGGAGTTAGAATAGGGTTTATTAAGAAAGAGGAGAGAGGCTATAGGCAGAAAGAATTTCATTTATTATATACTACATAGAACATCTGTTTCACTAGCGTAGCAAGTTTCCATTTGCAAGCAAAAATAATGAAAACTACTTGCTTAACATTTCAGAACTTCTCGGAGTCTCCTAAAAGCATAGAAGGAACAAATGGAAGAGGCCTTATTCTGCCAATGGCTGCTGTGGCATAGTGCTTACGCATTGGGCTGTGATCCACAAGGTCGGCAGCTTGAAACCACTAGCCACTCCGTGGTAGAAAAATGGGGCTTTCTACTCCTATAAGCAGTTACAGTCTCAGAAACTCATAGGGCCAGTTCTCTGATCTACAGGGTCACTATGAGCTGGCTTCCACTCGATGGCTGCTGCAGTGCCTCACAGTGACTTGGACTTTTAGAAAGCAGCCTCTTGGAGAATTGATAGCCATCTGATGAACTGACCAGAAACAAGGGAACAAAGGATGATGGGAACTCCAGTGGCTCCCGGAAGCCAGGACACACAGTAAATACAATTAGCTGCAGTGCCAAGTGTGATAACTAAGACTGCTCCTCTCTCTCTCACTGGGCATAAAAGTCCCAAAAGATCCCCAAAGCTTGGCAACCTTCAAAAGCTTCTCTTGCTTCCTGCATGGGGGGGAGGAAAGGCCTGCTTAGTGGGAAAACCATAGCCCAGGGCCAATCCCCTGGCAAGATTCATCAAAGAGTTGACTGAGGCACAACAGATTTTTCCTTTCCGTATGGGAATGACTCATGAGCTTGTTTATTTAAAAAAGAAAAAAAAATTACATCCTCCGCATTGGGAGAGATGGTTCATGGGGGAGCTGGATCATAATAGTGAAAATTCATGGGTCGATCCCTACTCTCCTGTCCCTCCTGTCTGCACACACAGTTATAAGGAGACATTACCAATTTCCAGAAGGTGGTTAGTATGTTTGGTTCATTCTGCCTTTATTCTTTTCATTTTCAATAAAGCAAACAGGACCACTAATCTCTCCTTGGTAATCTTTTAGTCTTTAGAAGGGGTATGTATTTTTTGTATCCAATAAGACAAACTCACTGCCATTGAGTCAACGCTGACTCACAGGGACCCTTCTAGTGGGTTTCTGAGACTACAACACTTGAAGAGAGTAGCCCAGTTTGTTCCGTTTTTCGCCCCACAGAGATGCTGGTGGTTTTGAACTGACGACCATTCAGATGGCAGTCCAATGTGTAACCATTACATCAAATTGCCTGGGCTAAATCTGGCTACCAAATTGCAAGCTGTGTGACCCCTAAAGCAAGCTATTTAGGTTTTGAGCTTCTATTTTACTGTCTGTAGACGTGGAGTTAATGTTATTTACAGAATAAAGTTATTTTGAGTGTTAAGTTAAGTAATACATGGAGAACAGTTCACAGTACGTTGTCACTTCTCAGTTAATCTTTGTCACTTCACAGATGCCCACATGCTCTTCTATTACATGCCTTCTTTTATTCTGCATTACCTTAGAAGGTTCAAATTAAGCCGTAAATGGAAATAAATATTTTGGGATACATCTATGTCTTTTACAGACATTTCATCCCGTATTAGGGAGGTTTTATGAGAGGTTCAAAAGCTCTCTCTCAAATGAACAGAACCTTACCAGTAAATTAAGTCTTTTCACATGCTTGAGCGGTCATCTTTCTCATTATGCATATCTACACGACCAGAGTTGTGGATGGATGGAGGAGTGAATGGGTGGATGGATGGAAAGAAAGAAAGAAAAACAGAGAGATGACAATGTTAGGTACACTTGAGCCGGTTCCAACTCAGAGCGACCCTGTGTCCAACAGAAGGAAGCACTGCTGAGGCCTGGGGCATCCGCACAATTACTGTTTTGTCTGAGCCCTTGTTGCAGCCACTGAATCAAGCTATCTCTTCGACCCTCTTCCATTTTCCCAGGCCTTACACTTGACTCAGCACGATGTCTTTGTAAAGATAGATTTCCTGAACTCACTGTCATCAAGGGGATTCCAAAACTTAGTCGCCTTATATAGGGCTCCCGTGGCTGTAGATCATAATGAGTTTGAACTGCCAACCTTGTGATTACCTGCCCAATGCCTACTCCACAGCACCACAAGGGTCCTTATTATGGCAATAAATATACCCAAACCCACTGTCATTGAGACAGTTCTGACGTATAGTGATCCTGCATAGGGTCGTTGCGACTGTCAATCTTTACCGTAGCAGATAGCCTCATCTTTCTCTCACAGATCTCCTGGTGGGTTTGAACCACCAACCTTGTGGTAAGCAACCCAATGCCTAACCCACAACCTGACCAGGACTCCTTGTTAAGGCAATAGAAGACTGTATTTATGATTTTTCTTCAGCCCTACATGTAAGGGCAAAATATACGAGGCCATATCCAAACTCCTTCCTTCATCTCTTCTTGTACCCATCAGGATTCTAGAAGTTGCTATAACCTGTTCTCTAGCACATGAAGGAAAATTATCCAGCTAACAGAATATCCTAATTCCTTTCAGCATGGTGAATATCCATTCTATCTTTCATGAAGGGAGATTGGGCTCTTTTTCATGATTTCGCTCATCTATAAAATGTCTTAAGCATTTATTCAGTAAAAGAGGTTTGTTGACCTCAGTGTGTATATTTTTGCTTACCCATTACTGTTTGACAATACATTTAAAAGAAAGATCACTCCAGGTCAGATGGTTCTGGTTTAGTCTGTCTTTGATTATTTGTCCTTAAAGTTGTTTTACTCACTGGGTAAAATCAAGACATCATCTCCTGGGCCCGGGAGGGTATGATTATGTCCTCCCCAGCCCTCTGGGACACCTTGCCAGGTTTCAAGGAGGGACCATTTTAAAGCAGGCTCTGGTGCAGAGGTAGAAGCTAGAAAAGAAAAGGAGATATAGAAAGTATCACTATGAAAATCTGACTCACTGTGGTAAATTCCATTTTTCCCCCTTATTTGAAGATGCTGATTTTAACATCACCTACCAAAGTAGTTGCCCTTCAAAAAAAAAAAAAGTAGTTCCATTTGCTATCTCGTGAGCCTCTATAAAAGCAATTATCTGGCAGAAACAAAAGTAATTGCTCCATGCATAAGTGACCACCACTAACAGAAAAATATATTCTGCTTCAGTTATTAAGCATTTCAGTCTTATTCTATTCTAAATATCCACATATACTTATCATGGAAGACTTAGAACATGGAAAGAAAGAAAAAGAATAATTTTCAATAATCTCATCACCTGGAGATAACTGCTATTAACCTTTTATAATACTCCTTTTCAAAATGTGTCTGCATTTTTTGTGTAATTGAGACTACATAATATCTGCACCTTTACATCTGGTTGTTTCTTCATTTGCTTGTTTTCCACCTGAATTTTTTAATATCATTAAAAGTTCATATATGCTTACTTTTATTGACTGTCTAATATTTTCTTTTACAGAAGTCTATAATATATTTAATCCCTAACATTTGGCATTTAGCTTCTTGTCACATCCTTTTAAATCATAAATAGTGTGGCATTAGATATCTTTACACAAATCCACGCATACTTTTGGGGTATGATCTTGTCACATATTGAAGGCTGAGTGGTAATCTCCACCTCTCTCATTGCAGTAAATTACATATATTTATGTTCCAACTGGTTGTTCAATGATTCTACCTTTGACCATTGAATAGCATTTTCTTTTGACCATTCTACTAATTTTCTATCAGAGAATGAAACCTAAATCAAATCACTTCTAGTGACGACTGTCCAGTATCACATATGAATAGAGCTCTGTTAATCATTGTTTTTGTGCTACCCAGAATTTCTGACATTATGATTTTGCTCTTTTCCACAGAGCTCTTCATGAAACAAAACACACATATTCAAATTTTGACATTAGCACAAAATATCCCCCATACCACGAGAATAAAGCCATGCTTGATGGATGCTAATTTATTAATTCTGTTCACTCCTGTGTTTTGAAATCATTTCTTATGTTACTCTAGGAAGGCTGGTGATAGATATAATTATTTTTAATTAATATATTTACTTCTCCCATTGGTCCCCACCCTAAAGAGAGAGAGGCAATTTAAATAGCTTAGATACTACATGGTATAGTAGAAAGAACATTGGACTTGAATTGGAAAACCAAAATCCCAGCTTAAGCACTGACTACTGGCCTGACTAAATTAACTGATTAACCCCTAGGCTTCCATGTCTGCATTTGCAACATTAGTGAACTGGCTAAGATAGAAGGTGAAGGCCTTCTTTATTAACATGCTACACATCTATGAAGCATCGGCCTTCTATTTATTCGGTATATTGTAATTATCAGGCCAAGGGAAGCATCCCTCCATTAACCTGTTCCCTTCAAGCCACTGGCACTGGCCACCCACAGTGCCCTTCCTAGAAAACGTGTACCCAGACATCTCTAAACTAAGGGCTGAGCCAGGTGCAATGCTGAGGGCAGCCGGCTGCAGCAGGAATGATCACTATGGCTGTTCCAGTGGTCGCTAGGGGAGCCCGACAGGGGAGCCCATGTGCGGCTTCTCCTCTACAAGATGGAGAGCCATTTTGTTCTCTTTTATGGAATTTGAACCCAACAAATTCAGAAAAGAGAGGAGAAGTTGTCATGGTCAAGGAGCCCTGGTGGCTTAGTGGGTCACACGTTGAGCTGCTAACCCCAAGGTCACCAGTTTGAAATCACCGGCTGCTCCCATGAAGATTTACATCCTCCGAAACTCAAAGGAGGCAATTCTAATCTCGCTCATAAAGTGGCAAGATAGTTTACTAAAGGAAATGTGCTCATTGATTACTTTATCATTTGATTGATATCCCCAGGGGACTATAAGTCATCCCAAAATCAAAGACTTGGTCACTGTCACATCATCCAACCTCACTCAATAAATACTATAAGTTGAGCCACTGCAAAGGAAATGTATAATAACAAGTTGGGGGTATAAACACCAAGTACCAGACAACTCAGAAATGGTCACGAAACCAGCTTTAGAATCACATTATTCATAAGCACAGGGTAGGCACCATCAGGGCTTCCCATTTCCAGGCTTAGTCCAAGGAACTTTACCTCATGTATCTAGTAACTAGAGGAATTAGATTATTTTCTGTTTAGTGCGGACTATGCTTTGACATAAAGGTACCCTGGAAATCAGAGGAAAACTCAGCCTCTGAACAGATTCATCCCTGTTACAAATGTCTCCTTTAATGGACTTAGGATAAACCGAAAACAAACTAAGCAACACATTGGAAAGAGCTCACACGCCATTGGGCCTTTGAGAATTTTGGCTTTTATGAGTTTAGAAAGACTTTGCAGAACCATTTGACTTTTTGGGGGGTTTGTTCACCATGGTTTTCTGAAATTACCAGGAACGATGAAAGGACTGAGATAGGCCGAGTTTTCCTTTCTTTTTGGTGGGGGGGGGGGGGGGAGGCAATGGCCAGCCTGCAGGTCTGCACTGCTATGTGCACATATGGCCCATCATTTATCAAGTGTAATTATTTACATGTTTCACTTCTTACTTTCCATTGTTTTAAACAAATAAATGTGCCCTTGTATCTCTCTGGGGCATGCAGACATATATACTCGATTAGAGGGGTAACACAAAAGAGAGTGTTGTCAGGCATTAACCATGAGGACTGACACCTGTCCATCTATAAACAATACATAGAGTAAAATTTGAAGAATGGTTGAGGAATAGACTGCTATATTGGCACCTCTATTTGGTGACTAGTCACTCACCTGAAAGAGTTGGGGGCACACCTTCCTTCACCTGCAGGGTCACTTGTACTTGGCCTCTACCTGAAACTGAACATATGCAAGTTACAACTGAAAATCAGATGCAATGCAAATATAATCTTAAGATGAAAGATATTCCATGTGAGAGGGTAGCTTTATGTTCAATGCTCCCCTTCCAAATAAACTTTCAAAAAAAAACCCCACACAAACCCAAGAAAACCCGGAAGACGGCACAGCTGGGAACAGGAGGGTGAGGAGGGTGGCATGACTTGAAGAATATAATGAATGTCGCTGCATCGCACATGCAGAAATTGTTAAATTGACATAATCTGTTGTGTATGTTTTCAACCACAAGACTAAATGTAGTTTAAAATAAACTGAAGTCCCAGTTCATCGATACCTTAACTTATTATGTCCGTTGCTTTTATTTGATTAAACCTGAAGATGGTGATGTCTCCTGGAGAATCATCATATAAATAATGAGGAAAAATAAAGTAAAACCATTAGCCATATGTTCTTGGGAGGACAAGCATGGCCAGCAAGGCACCTCGGGTATCTTATTTCCTCTCCGTCATTTAAAAAACAAAAAACCTCAGCTTTGGGGATTCATGTGTTTTTCACCAATGAAGTTCAGATCACCCGTGAAATGTATTTGCTTTACCTTTATCCAAACAAATTGTCCTTTTAATGAAGGCTTTTCTCCACCCCCCTTTCTCCTTCCATCTTCCAAACCAACTGAGAACATTTAAAAGGCCTGGGGTTCATTAATTTTAAGTGTTCAATAAATTAGTTGAAATAATCAAAAGGCCTGATTCTTTCTGATAATGACAATTTGATGTCAGTATAAACCAGTAGATTAAGCTGGGAACATATGCTCCCTTGCCAAGAGAGGCTGCTATAATTAAATAGTGAATGCATCTACAAGGTGCTCTCACGCCTGATTAATTAGTAATCAGGTGCGTGAACTCCACTTTTCAGTAACACCTTGTCTCTTATTGGTTAATTACCTTTCTGCCTTATCAAAAGTCATGCGAGCTGGGACCTCGCACCCACCACTGGAGGACACAATGTTGTCGCAGCTTGCAGAGTCAGGGCCTTGGCCAACATCATCTTTTGTGGTCACGTGCCCTTCCCTGGAAGCCCCAGTCCATCCCTACCTCACAGACTAGAGGATCTAATCAAAGAATAAGCTTCAGCACATGAGAAAGACAATAGTGCCCACAGTGGTCCTTGCTGAGGCTTCTTCCGCTCTCCATCCCAAGGACCTTCCCAATCGCTCGACTTTCATTTGGATGGCGATTCTCTGTTTGAGGGGTGGGATTGGGCAATATTGGTTCAGTGGTCTTCCATGCAGGGCACCCAGTTTGATTCCTTGCCAATGCACTTCAACTACAATCAATCATCCCCCATCAATCTGGAGTCTTGAGTGTGGCGAAGATGCTTAACAAGTTGCAGCAGAACGTCCAAGAAGAAAGGTCTGGTGATCTATTTCCAAAAACCCAAGCCAATGAGAGACCTATGGATTACAATGATCCAATGTGCAACTGATCCTAGGCAGCATTTTATTCCATTGTGCAGGCTATCCGCCGCAGCCAGCAACCACAACATTCTCATTTTAAATGGCTACCTTTACAAAACACAGGCACCTGTGGTTTTCGCTTTCTAGCACACACGTCTGAAGGCCAGGAACCCCGGCCAATATGTTCTTGATGTGTTCCACAGGCAGTCCCCATCTTACCATTGGGATCTAATCAGATGACTCTTTTAAATCAGTTCTGTCTGATGTTGAAACCGAATTTTTGTCTGTTTAGTTGGTTTTAGTTTTCATTTTGTTGTCTGTTATCATCAGCATCCTTATAAATCCAATCTTTATTTGTCTTTGGGATTGTAAATATTATATATAAACTTGCAGATACAATGTCATCAGTAAATGACAGGAAGCTACATTATACTTCACGCATATTATGAGCAATGGGAGTAGAGATCAAAACACACAGACAATCATAGTGTGGTTTTTCATAACTTGGGTACATTATAACTCAGGGGCTACCTGTTCTTTTATCCCTAGTTCCAAGATTTTCTTAGGATGTTGTGTTACCTTATTATATAGCTCACTTGCTTTTCCAAGTTAAATATATGTATAGATATACATAATCACTAGTCAAACATCTCTACAAGGTTTAACTCTTTCATTATGCTCACACTGAGTTATGTATTCACTAAAGTAGAAAAGGATTTCTAAGTCCATACTGTGATAATTATGCCAAACTAGTTCTCAATGTAATAAAAATGTACTGTGCATCACCTGTGAAGTTAAATTGCATCATAGTTAGCTTTGTTCCCAAATCTTCCAGGGCAGGATCTTGAGTTGCATTTTTCTCATATACCTTCTGAAATTAAATATCACTGGACACATAGATACTTAATTTTCATGAATCAGTTCAGAAATCCTAGTATGTCATTGCTCTACTGCAGGCACTCACTACATACCGACAGTTGAAACACATTCTGTCCACTCTCCTAGAGGCAAGAATAACACACTTTGAGGAATCAAATGCAACACAGGAAAAAAGCTTCATCAGCAAAAAGGGGATGGGGGAGAAAGAGTCGCGATAACAAGTAAAAGTACGCAAGACGCCAAAGCAATAGAATTCCCATTCACACAAGAAAGGAACTGAATCTTACAATAGAATCACATTTTAAGAAGGACAACTAGAAAATCATTCGGAAAAGATTTGGAAAGGAACGTCTGTACATTTGAAAGTGTTACACAGTCCATCCCGACCATGATGTTCACTGGGGATTTCAGTACATTTGTGCCCTCTTTCCTAAAAGCCAAGGAAGTAAAAATAACAATAATAATAACAAAAAATGTTCTTTTTATCTCTTTGAAATCTATTATGGTCATTTTATAGTCCAACCCCAAATAACAATGAAGTATATTCATAAGAAGAGTAGTTGGGGAGAAAAAACAAAGAATAGATTTTCCTCCAATATAGGGTGAAACCAGCAACAACAACAATGAATGTATCCAAAATTTCTTGGGATAAAATAAATGTCTCAAGTATTCAGGCCTAGTATCTATCACTGAGATGATGAACCCTTAGACTGAAGCCTCAAAGCATATTGTTGTTGTTGTTGTTGTTGTTGGGTGGCCTCAAGTCAGTTCTGCCTCATGGGACTTTACATACAACAGAACACAAACTCTGCAGCCGTGCGCCATCCTCTCCATCATAGTTCTCTTTAAGCTGAATGTTGCAGCCACCGTGTCTATCTATCTCCTTGCCAGTCTTCTTTTTTACTGCCCTTCCATCCACTTTACTAAGCATGATGGTTTTTTCACCAGAGACGTCTTCTAATAACATGTCTGAGTTATGAGAGATGAATTCTCACCCTCTTCATTTCTAAGGAACATTCTGATTGTACTTCTTCCAAGATATTCATCTTCTAGAACCCACTGTATTTTCAATATTCTTTACCAACACGCTAATTCGAACCCATTGATTCTCCTCCAGCCTTCCTCATTAATTATCTGAATTTCCCATGCAGATGAGGTGCTTGAAAATACCATAGCTTGTGTCAGGAGAACCTTAGACTTCAAGGAGATCTCCCTGCTCTTCAACACTTTAAAGAGGTCTGGTGCAGCAGATTTGCCTAATCATTGCCTCATTTGAATTCTTGACTGCTACTCCCATGATCCTGGATCCAAGCAAAATTAAATCCTTCACCATTCCACTTGCTCTTTCACTCACTCATTTACTCAGGCTGAAAGAGGTGCAGGACACTACACATCCTGCTCTCAATGCGCCAAGGCTTCCTGGACCAATGTTCTATCTTGTCTGTAGGTTTCTATACGTCATTGTCCCCATGACTTCTGGACCAGATGGTCAAATATTCTTCACCTCCCAGAGAACCTCTTTGAACCCTGGAAAGCTAAAAAGGTCATTGAAAAGCTGTCATCACTTTATTAACGTTAACATCAGGAGACATGGGGGAATTACCAAAAGTATGAAGAACTAGAAGAGTATGTTTCCTACACCATCACTTAAATATGTCATTCTGGAGAGTGGTTCTAAACACATGAACTTGGGTCAAATGGGCTAGTTCTTCTGAAATGCCATTGTCTGGCCATGTGAGAGACAGTAGAGAGAAATGGGTAAGAATGAGTCCACGAGGTGGGATTTGAATTCCCGTCTCTTCCAGTTCCTAACTCTGGGTCACATGACAAGATATTCACCATTTATTCTGAAAATTAGGATAATTGTATTATCTACCTCAAAGAGTTATTGGAATGGAAAATTGTGTTAATCCATGTAGTACGCTTAATACGGCACTTCGCACAGAACAAACAATATATACCGTAGGTATTAGCAGCATGATAGGCCATCTATAAACAGTGATGGGGGTGGTATAAGACTGGCCAAGGTTGTATTCCTTGGTGCAAAGGGATTCCATGAGTTTGGAGGGCAACTCAGTGGCAGCTAGTATCGCTAGCAACACTATTAGTATTGTTACTATGGCTTGTCCATTACTCTGTCAGTAAACAAGACCCAAGGAATATGCTTTTACTCTTCTGACAGCTGCAGCCAATCATGATAACCCATAGGACGACAGGTTTGTAAGCAAATTAATCCAATCCGCTAAAGTTTGCTAAGTGCTTTGACACCATAAAAGAGAGTGTAATGTTAAGTGTCATTTCCAATTTGGATAAATACAAAGAGGAATGAAAATCATTTAAGAATAAAGGTATTGGCTTGGGAGGAGTCTAAAAGCCTTACAAAAGCTGTGATAGAGCACATGTGTTTTCTCAATGCTTATGATTTCTGATTTTGTATTTGTAATATGAGGATGGTTAATCTACCTTGTTTGTAAATGAAGCCCTTTGTAGTTGAGCTTTCCCAGATTGTAAGAAATCTGTTACTCCAAAGGAAGAGCCAGTCTTTGGGTCAATGATTGCCGAATTGTTTTGAAGAGTGCTATGGTCTAAACTTGCTATAAACACAGACATCGAAGAGGAAGAGAGAAGTGTGCTGAGAAAATGGCTCCTGGTAAGAAAAAGGATTAAATTA